GCAGAACTTCGGTCTTTAAATACAATCCAGCATTTTTGTTTCCTCTCTGCTTTGCTGTACAGACGTTAGAGATTACAACATTGGCTTTAACTCTAGCATTTTCTGACAGTGCCTGTGTAATAGCTTTGGATGCTACAGCAATCTGTTTACTAGCATAGTGTTCAAGTTCAGGACTTAGCTCTTCATATGGTGTGATCTGTTTGGCCAGTTCAATTTCTGATGTTCTACCCCCAGGGCATGATGTTTATCCCCTGTAAGAACTTGAATTCATTTGAACACCATCATCTCCTGCCCTTTCTATATCAACCATCAGATCGTCTATAGAACATCAATGCAGTACAGTAGAAATAGCACCACCTCCTTTCTCATGATTGAAAACGTGTGTATCTTTAACTTCTGAGAGGCAAGGGCTGTTACAATGTCCTATTTCTTCCAGGCCAAGAGGAGTCAATCCAGGAAGAGCAGTAGCTCCAACTCTTTTATTGTCTCCTGGGATCCCATTTTGAGTTGAGTCTCATCAACATTGTATTTGCTTGCATAACAAAGAGCCATGCCTGCCACATTGTCACCTTATATAAATGTTGTAATGAAAATTTCACCAGCATCCACAATAGCTTTTGATTTGTGCACCCCTGAGATTTTCTTCTTTAATGAAATCCAGCAGCTCTCCAGCAGTCTTTATCAGCATGGTTCCCTCATCTCTGTTATCATGCCCTCAAAAGGACAAGAGTATCTTCAGTTTCCTTCTTAAAAACAAACAAACAAACAAGCAAGCAATCCATGCAATACCAGAGCCCACAAGTTTACAAGCTCTGACGTTATCAGCATTGAAATGACTGGAATCAAGAGAAATAGATACATGTGGCTGAGCAGGCAGCATGACCAAAATTGTGCTGTTTTCATAGTTGTGTGCTCATTCTGGGGTTAAGAAGTAGAGTTGATACCTCATCAACATCCCGAGTGGTTTACAGAGCCCCATCATCAAGTCAGGAGAATGCTTGTAGGCTTTTTGTGTGCTATTTCATAACCTTCTATGGCCTCTGAAACTGACAAACATCCCTAAGTTCTTCGGCTAGCTCCAGAAGAGCTCCAGCAAATATCAGAATGAAGTTTGTGCCATCCCCAACCTCTTACTCTCAAGTATGAGAGGCCATGACATCATTTTTGCAGCAGGATGCTGGGCTTCCAGATCTTTCAATGGGCGTTGCCTCTTTTGTCACGAACCACTCTCCAGGAGACTGGGAACCATTTAATTCTTTCCACTTGGTCCCCATGCTGTACGAAAGTCTGGGAAAGTTTCTTGCAAGCTTGTGTTTTTATACATAGCCTCTTCTAATGCTAAAAGTGTTTTGTTGTATCCTTGAGCATCTGGAAAAAGCCTGGAAGCTTAGGGACTTGAAGTGACATGGCCAGCTTGCAAAAAGCTGTTTATGTGCTCCTTTGGAAATCTGGCGGAACTGAGGAGCAGGCAAGCACAGCTGCTGCTTCTCCTCCTCCTCTTCCTTGGAAACTGGGTCTTTCTATGTAGCCCAGGTTGGCCTTAAACTCAGCATTGAGCCTCAGCCTTGTGAATGCTGGGATCACAGGCACATGCTACCATACCTGTTATACTTGTTTTTCTATTTCTGCATACAGTGGTTTGGAGATTGTGGGAAGAACAACATTGAATCTGGAGAGAGAGAGAGAGAGAGAGAGAGAGAGAGAGAGAGAGAGAGAGATGCTGGGGGATGCCTTTCTGTATGCTGTGAGTATATATTGTTCCCATTGGTTAATAAATAACCTGCCTTGGCCTATATGGCAAGGCAGCTTAGAGGCAGGAGGGAAATCCAAGGAGAGAGACAGGAAAGAGAAAGGCAGAGTGGGGAAAACACCAGACTGCCATCCTAGGAGCAACATGTAATGGGATGCAGGTAAAGCCACGGAACACGTGGCGATACATAGATTAATAGTTATGGGCTGCGTTAAACTATAAGAGCTAACTAGCAAGAGGCCTGCCATAGGCCATACAGTTGATAATTAATATTAAGTCTCTGAATGATTATTTTATAAGTGCCTGAGGGACCTCAGGGCTGGGTGGGACCTAAGAAAACTTATGGCTAAAGAGAGATAGAGACAGAGACCGAGACCGTGTATGTGTGTCCATGTATCTAAGAACACCACATAGCACTTGTGGAAATCAGAGGACAATGTGTGGAGTCTGTCATCTCCTATCACCATGTGAGGCCCAGGGACCACACTCAAACTCAGGTTGTTAAACTTGTCAGCAAGCACCTTTACCCAGTGAGCTACCTCATTGGTCTTAAACACACACACACACACACACACACACACACACACACACACACACACACACACACACGCGTGCACGAGAGAGAGAGAGAGAGAGAGAGAAAGAGAGAGAGAGAGAGAGAGAGAGAGAGAGAGAGAGAGAGAGAGAGAGAGAGAATAAATGCTTAAAATTTATTAGCAAGGTGGTGATTGAATTTCCCCCTTGCTTGCTCCCTCCGCCCCGCCCCTTTCCTGCTGCTCCTTGCCTGTGGGCTGTGTGTGTGTCAAGATGAAGCTGAGTATCTATGTCTTTCCCAGCCATCAACTGTCAGAGATGCACCAACGTGGACAAGGAAGCAAACTTTGTACTTTCTATGAAAAGTCAATAGCCACAGAAATTCCTGATGATGTTCTGCATGAAGAATGGAAGGGTTGTGTGGTCTGAGTCAGTGGGAATGACAAACAAGGTCTTCCCACGAGGCAGGGAGTTTTGACTCACACCAGACTCTGCTTTTGTTGTTGAGAAAGGGGCAGTTTTGTTATAGACCAAAGCACAAGTCTGCTCAGGGATGCACTGGACAAGTCTTCTCGACTTGGTTATTGTAAAAAAGGGAAGAACGGATTTTACTAGGCTACTGTGCCTTGGCGGTTGAGGCACCGAAGAGCTCACAGAATCTGAAAACCTTTTCAGTCTCTCTAAAGAAGATGATGTCCAGCAGTATGTTGGCGGGATGTCCTTTAAGAAAGGGAAGAAGCCAAGATGAAAGCCCTGAAGATTCAGCATCCTGTAACCCCACGTGACCTTCCACACAGACCCTCAGGTACTGCTCTGAAGAAATGACGCACCAAGAAAAGGGAGGAGGGCTGCAGAATGTGCTAAACCTTGGCTGAGAGAATGAAGGAAGCAGAGAGCTTCTACTGACATGCCTGAATCCAGTCAAAAATAACTCTGTAAGGGTAACTAATAAATGATCAGACTTGGAAAAAAATAAAGAAAATTTCCCTTTGGCTATTCCCAAGTATGTTGAAAAACAAACAAACAAACAAACCTTCTTAGAGTATAACCTTGTGACTTTTTTTTTGCCAACATAAATGCAGTTTATGAAAATATCAAACATTGCTACAATATTTTAAAACTTTAGAAAGGGTCTTTATGATCATGTATTAAGTTTCATTTTGTCAATTTGACATGATGTGGTTGATATATTATGCACCCCAATAAACTTATCTTGGGGTCAGAGAACAGAACAGCTATAATATTCAACATGGAGGTTAGGCAGTGGTAGCACAGGCCTTTAATCCTAGCATTCCAGAGGCAGAGATCCATCCAGATCTTTGTGAGTTCAAGGCCACACTGGAAATAGTCAGGCATGGTGACACACATCTTTAATCCTAGCACTTGAGATCTCATATCTTGCTTGGGAAAGCACATGGCTTTAATCCCAGGAAGTGATGACAGGAAGCAGAAAGGTATATAAGGCATGAGGACCAGGAACTAGAGGCTTTTAAGCTTTTAGACTTTTAGCAGCAGTTCAGCTGAGATCCACTTGGGTGAGGACTCAGAGACTTTCAGTTTGAGGAAACAAAATCAGCTGAGAAGTTGGCAAGGTGAGGTTGGATGTGGCTTGTTTTGTTTCTCTGATCTTTCAGCGTTCACCCCAATACGTGGCTCCAGGTTTGTTTTTATTAATAAGACCTTTTAAGATTCGTGCTACAACACAATGTAGCTGGGATCACCTGGAGAAATTTAAATGAAGGATTGTTTAGATTACCATAGGTGGGTCCCTGTGGTAATATTGTAGGTGGTAGGTGATACCATTCTGTGAGCAAGGGATCCTGTGTGAGAGAGGGGAAATCGGGTTAAGCCCTCGTATGCATTCATTAATTTATTGTGCATGCATTAATTCATTGTTCATTCATTAGTTCATTGCTTTCTGTGCTTGACTGTGGATGTGACGTGATCTGTTTTCATGTTTCTGCCCCCTTCACTTCCCTGCAGGTGGACAGGAACCTGGAACCATGAGCCAAATGAACCCTTTCTCCATTACATTGCTCCTGTCCAGGGATTTGATCTCCCTTTCCTGGAGATGAAGACACCGTGCTATATCAAGAATATGAATAGAGTGTCAACTGATGATAGAGTTTGAAGCAGGGAGCCGGGTGCACTTGCCTATCACGCACAGGCGCTGGCTTCAAGCCAAAGCTCCAGAAAACAGTTCCTTCTGTTTGATCTCATTCAATTTCGGTCTTTATTAGACATTCAGATTGGTATAGCACGGTGTGTCAGCATGGTGGCACAAGCTTGAAATCCTAGCACTTTGGAGGCTGAGGCAGGAAGATCTGGAAGTAAACCATAAATTGAGCAACTCTACAATTACATGTAGATCTATCTCATTCTGCCCTACAATCTTCACAGCCTTGAAGTACATAAGTAGGTCCTGATAAGCTGAGAGAATTCCTCCCTATAAGCAGCATATGTTAATTTCTATCCAGCCTCCCAGGATCACTCTTGTGTACCACCATTTGAGGTGAACTTCTCAGAGTGGACTGCTGAGTCTGAGGATAACTGCACACTTACATTTTTGTACATTACATTTTGATAATATTAGAGCATTATCATTTCCTTAGTTATGGTGAAGGACACAGCTTCCACCCCCACTGAAAAAATGAGCAACAGAACAGCATAACCAATTCGTTAAACAGCTCATCAGCATTGAATGACGCCATCAGAAGGAAACACCCAGAGGCTCAGGGAAAAAAACAGTTTTTATGCTCAGGATAGATAAAAAGTGGGCAGCTTTGGGAAATGTGACTGGGCGGAAGTTCCATTCTCATGACAACAGACTAGTGGAGGTGGGTACCCAGCAAGGTCCGTGTTTTCTGGGTTGCTCTCTGTTGCTGGAATAAACACTGTGACTAAAAGCAACTTGGGAAGGAAAGGGTCTCTTTCCGTGTGCTGGTTACAGCTCATCAAGGGTGGAAGCCAAGGCAGGAACTTGAAGCAGAAACCTGGTAGGTGAGCTGCTGACCCACTTCCTGTCAGGTTCACGTTGAGCACCCTTTCTCATGAAGCCCAAGCCCACCTGTCTAAGGGATGGCACCACCCGCAGTAGACCCAGCTCCCCTGCATAAATGAGCAATCAAGAAAAGGCCCACAGCTGGGGATGGTGATTCACGCCTTTAATCTCAGCACTTGGGAGGTAGAGGCAGGTGGATCTCTGTGAGTTTGAGGCCAGTCTGGTCTACAAAGCTAGTTCCAGGACAGCCAGGGCTGTTACACAGAGAGACCCTGTCAGGGGTGGGGGTGGGGGATGGGAGGAGAAAGAAAAGAAAACACATGCTCACAGACCAACAAATTAGCGATCAAGAAAAGCCACAGACAGTCATGCATACAGGATGGATGTAGTTCCTCAGCAGAGGGTCCTCTTCCCAGGATCCCAACCTGTCTGGATTCTCCTTTGCTCTGTACAACAAGCATTCTTTCCTGCTGGAATGAGTCCTCCCTCGGAGAGAGGGGAGAATGACATGTCTAGGTTTCATAGTTTGTTTGGAACGACAGGTGTCTATTTTACATGCTCCACTTTGGGGAAAAGGAATTCTAATTTTTATGACTGGCTTTGGGAAAGCAAAGATTCAGGAGAGAGGAGAGCCTGGGAAGGGGTCAGAAGGCTTCTTCACGTCCAGGGCATGCTAAAATGCTGCACTGCAGGGACCTGTATTCTGAGTTTCCGACAGAGGGCCAAATCCTTAGAAACGTTTGCTCCTAAACCAGCTTGTGCTGACATCGGGTTATCTGCTAATTTGGGCAGACTGGTTGAAAACTGGTATCTCACGATTTCAGTTTCTATTTCTTTACAAAGGAGATCACGCTCTGCCATCCATTTGCCTTTCTTCGTATTTCTTTAGTTTCACTTTGAGGCCCGCGCTAGGTTTCCCGTGTCTCAGGCCTCAGCGCGGAGGCCGGGTGGCGAGTTGGGTGGGCAGCATCGTGCCTTGCCTCTGTGCTCCGCAGGTGCTGAGCTGGGATGCAGGGGACCCCGCCGGCGGGAAGGCGCTGGGGGAGACCCGGCTTGAGAAAGAGCTGGAGAGAGCAGAGTGCACGGAGCCGGGTCCAGGAATCATCCAGATTCCCGCGGGGCATCCTGCGCAGGAGCAGCACAGGCCGGGGAGCTCTCCCTAGCGGGGCGGCGGACACAGGACCCCGCCCTTCCGCGCTCCGTCTCCCGGGCGACGGGAACTGGAAAGTGAAAGCGGAACCTGCCCGCCACTGGCTTTAGGTCTCCCGCTGCGGGCCGAGCTTCTCCTCCGCGCCATGGCAAGTCGCTTTCCTCGGGGTCGGGGTGCGGGAAGGCGCGCCCAGGGTCCCCGGAGCACGTGTCCCTTGCGATCGCGCGCCCCGAAGTGGCCGTCGCGGGTGCGGCAGGCCTGGCTCCCACGCGTGGGGGACACGGGCGCCTTTCTCACTCCCGGTGGAATGGCAAGGGGTACCCGGGTTTTTTCCGAAAGGTGGTTTATGGATGAGGAAGAGGACAGTGACCCAGAAATGGAGGCCATAGCCAACTACTGGAAGGAGCTAGCAAGAAGGGTCCAAACTGAGGGCACTGGATGGCGGCCTCTCTCTCCACGCCAGGCCTTTCCTCAGGGCCCTGGGTTTTTGTCTAGAGACCCAGATGACTGTGTTTTGGAGCAGTTGCCATGCATGCGTGAGTGTGTATGTTTCACCTGATTGTGTGTGTGTGTGTGTGTGTGTGTGTGTATGTTACCTGGTGACAGGTGATTGAAAAAGCAAATATGACAAACAGTAAGTGAAATATTTCTTCTTAGTGCCCCACTTAAAAGGTAAGTTTTATGTTACACCTTTTTTTTTTCCTTCCTGACGTAAGGGCCCAGAGTCTGTTGACGTCGAGCATGGAAACGGTAAAATGCCATCAGCCTCGTGTCTCTGCAGACATTGCCTTGTTTCAAAGTCTTTAAAAGGATTGTCTTTCTTCGGGATACTCGTTTTTCTTCTTTACTGTGCACAGAGGAGACCGATAACTCTGTTCTTAGCTGGTCCCAGGAGAAGACATACAGCCACATGTCCTCAGACATAAGTGAGCTAAAGACGACACAGGGCATGGAAGTGGTTCACAAGATCACAGATGCAGTGAGGTCTACAAAACCAGGTTTACAAAAATCCTGGCTCAGGGAGTTCCTTTGATTCTGAAGATAAAGGTTGCGTAGACACTTGAGTTAAGAAACACATTCGTGCTGATGAGGTGTGGATGTTTCCTGAGCCTACATGTTTTTTTTTTTTTTTTTCTTTGATATTGATAAACGCAGGAAAGATGGTGGTTCTCCAGCCATTTACCACTGAGGCTGGTGTGGGCTGTCAGAATGCCATAGAGATAGAAGGCAGGAAGTCAGTCAGCTTCCCTGGAAATCTGAAAGTCCCTTTGGTCATTCCTCCCCCCACCAAGGGAATCTTGGGAGAAGTGCATTAAGCCTCTGGGGACCAGAGGGGAGGAACGCACCGGTCTGATGAATTTCATCTTTTTACTGTACCTTCTAGACAAATCGTTTATTCCCATTACAGCGTCTTTCCTGTCATACAGCCAGTAAGTTTTTACTTTTTGTATTTTTGAGCGTTTTATCTTCGGGGGGGGGGGGTCTTCCTTTGTCTTGTATTCTGTAAGCACGAGCAATGATCATCCCCCCTCCCCCACCATTTGGTGGGCTGAGACCTTTTACTTGATATTTTGCTCCATCAATTCCAATTCTCCAGCCTTCAAGGCCTCTCACTCATGGAGCCTCTTTTGGACTTTAGCCAGAATTAGTCTTGCTGCTTAATCCTGAATGACATTTATTATAGTTTTAGGATTTTACTAGGGGTGATCTGTGTTCTCAGATGAGGTGTTGTTTCCTTCCGTAGAACAGTAAAGAGCCCTCTTCCATGCAAACCGAACTCCTTTGGAATGACTTACGTGTCTGCCTCCTCACCCAGGTGCTAGAAGTACCTTCCGCACAATTGGAAAGACCTGTTGGTCTCCTGTCATGTATAAAGTTCCTTTTCTACATAAAGGGAAATATTTCAAGTGATGGTCAGAAGTTCTCCATGGCAGAAGGAGTACCCAGTACATTTTTATTTTTTAAATGTATTTTATGTGTGTGTTTTGCCTGCATGTATGTATGTGCACCACATGCATGCCTGATGTCCTCAAAGGCCAGAAGAGGGTGACAGATCCCTTTGAACTGGGGTTACAGGCGATAGTGGACCACCATGTTGGTGCTGGAAATTGACCTTCTGGAAAAGCAGCCCACAGGACTCTTAAATGCGGAGCCATTTTTCCAGCCCCCTACAGTGCATGTTTTGGAGAGAACAGAGTTTCAGGGCAACAGTTTTCTTTTCTGCTTGCCACTTCTAGTACCCAACATATCGACAGATGTGGAATATATGTTTAATTAATACCGTTTTTGTTAGTGGCTTAAGTGATAGGTATATGTGCTGAGAACTTCATGCATACATCGTAAACTTAAAACCACAATGTCGTTAGGAAGAGGCTCGTGTGCCATCCTATTTTGTATCTGCAACTGGATGAACCAGGGATTCTGAGAACATGAATCCTTTGGGCTGTTACCATTGCCTTTGTCAATTTCTGAATTCTTCTATAATAAGTGAGGGGAACGTCTGATTGCTTTCTCTGATTTTCAGCTGTGAAAGCTGTACTGGAACCTCACTTAAAATTTTTCTTTGGGCTGTTTTTGTAACTTCTATAACACACTTAAACTGTGTATAACATCACATGATTCTTTGTAATGTAATCCTGTCGTTCCCCCCCCCCCCCCTTAGTTTCTGTTAATACTGGCTTTATTCTTACATTGACAGCGTTGAATATTTCTTTGTTTTCTGTAGCCATTTTAAAATTTTTGGTATTTTGAAGACTTAGCATATTTGGTCTAAAACTCAACAGTAGTGCATTCTAAGAACAAACGCTGTGTCAGCAGGGTCTAATTGTATGCTAAAATTCTCTGTCCTCTTTGGTCTCATGTCCTGTGTAATTTTCCTTTTCCACATAAAGGGAAATGTTTCTAGTGACGGTCAAAATTTCTTTTTCTTTTTTATTTCCCCCTTTGACTTAAGATTTAGTTTGCTCATGATCTTTAGGCTGGAGCCTCTTCAAATGCCAGAAAAGAGGGGGCAGTGCTCACATGTGCCCAGGCTAACTGGTCCTCAGTGTTTTCCTGAGGTTCTGCACCAGTGTCCGTTACTCTGGGTTTTGTGTGCTCAAGCTTGTGTGTGTAAGTTGGGGGTAGACAGTGTGGAGAACAAGCTGGAGCAGTTGCTTTACCAGTAGCCATCACGACCTGTTGTGTTTGCTCCTTTTCTCACACCCGAGGGTCCCCTTACGCAGACTGTCACCTTTACCCACAACCCCCCCCCCCCCCCCCGCCCCATTTCCTTATTTTAGGTTCATTTCTTCTGTTTCCTTCTTACATACACCTTGGTGTATTTTTGTCTCCCCGAAATTGGTTGAAATCTCCTGCACCAATGAACTAATTTTGTTCTTTTACTTTCATTTTTAAGGCGAACGTGTGTGCCCAGACCATTCATTTGCCCTCTTTCTGGGAGGCCAGAAGCAGGCTCTTCCCTCAGAGGAGTCTTATTTGATACAGTCCTTGCATTGAGAGCCCAAAGCTCCCTTTCGGTTTGTTAATCCTCAGTTCAGCTCAGGAGACCTTGTCTTCCCTCAGCTGATTAAGACAGATTATGTCTGAATTTTGCTGCAGTTAGCCTGGGCTAACGGTGCACATCTTGGGAGAGGCTGATAGACTCACTTTCCTAGCTCAGGGTGGGAGATAAATGAAGGTGCAAAGTAGGCATGGATTCAAGAGGAATAGAGAGCTGAGTGGTGGTGGCGCACGCCTTTAATCCCAGCACTTGGGAGGCAGAGCCAGGTGGATCTCTGTGAGTTCAAGGCCAGCCTGGTCTACAGAGCAAGATCCAGGACAGGCACCAAAACTACAGAGATGTCTTGGGGGGGGGGGGGAAGAGGAATAGAGAATAAATGAAGGACTTTTGCTGTGTACTCCATATAGCGGCAGGATCTGCAGGAACATGTCCTCTCTGTGACTGTGTCACCTCAGGTCCACGTGGACAGTGGAGTGCAGTCTGTGCAGCCACCGCATTATTGCAAGACTGTCCCCTGATCCTGACAATAGGAGGGATGCCTTTCTTATGGATTTACATACTTTGAACTCTGAAATTCAGAAAATAGTCTCTTTCAAACTTTGCCATTTTGTAGTTATTTATTTTTTTAATTATTTATTTTATTTTATGTGCATTAGTGTTTTTCCTTGCATATATATCTGTGTGAGGGTATCAGGTCCCTTGGAACTGGAGTTACAGACAGGTGTGAGCTGCTATGTGGGTGCTGGGAATTGAACTCAGGTCCTCTGGAAGAGCAGTTAGTGCTCTTAACCACTGAGCCGTCTCTCCAGCCCCTGTAGTTATTTTAATAAACCCAGGACTTTGCACACACAACTCAGGCACTCTGTCATTGAGCTGTATCTGCAGCCACCTTTTAAGTGTTAAAAAGAAAAATTGTACATCTCCCTGGGTGTTGCACACTCCTTTAATTCCAGCACCTGGGAGACAGAGGCAGGAAGATCTCTGAATTTGAAGTCAGCCAGGTCTAAATAGCCAAGCTCAAGGTCAGCTAAGGTGTTGTGGGATATTTGTATACTGTGTGAAGGTGTGTTGCTGTGATTAGTGTAATAAAAAGCTGAATGGCTAATAGCTAGGCAGAAGGTGTAGGTGGGACTTCTGGTCAGAGAGAGGAAGTAGGTGGAGACAATTGAGGCACAGAGGAGACACCAATGAGACATGAAGGTACATGCAGAACGAAAGGAAGGTGAAAGGCCACATAGTAAAACCTAGGTTAATAAAAGCAGGTTAATTTAAGTTATAAGAGCTAGTGGGACAGGCCTAAGAAAGGGCAAGCTTTCATAATTAATAAGAAATTAACGTGTCATCATTTAGGAGCTGGCTGGTGGAACAGAAAAAGACTCATTACGCTAAAACTACATAATAAGACCCCCATCTCAAAAAAGCAAAACCCTCCCCCTTTTTCTTTTGGTGACACTTTCTATTATTTTGGGCCTTTCTAAAATCAAATATTAACTATTATTTTTTAATTATTAGTAGTCTGCATAACTCTCAAATTTGACTAAGGCCTCTATTGGTAGATGAAATGAGGCAGACATGCTCTTGCTAGTTGCCTTTGTGGAAAGGCCATTGTGTCTCACTGATGTGATGGTGACTCACATTTAAACAGCATCTAACTGTTTTTCTGCAGGCTTCAGCATTGAAGATCAGAGACCCCACAGTTTCTGAGAGAACGATTGTAGTCTCTGGTCTTCCAGTTGGCCTTTCCAAAGACCAGCTGGTGAAGCGTTACTTCCAAGATGAGGGCAGACACGTGGAAGAGGTGATTTATCCATCAAGAACCAAAGGAGTTGCATATGTCATATTCAAAGAAAAGAAAGGTATTTCTTAATCAAAATTTTAAATACTTTGAAATCCTGGTGAAATTAAAATTTCATACTGTTAAAATGATTCATGGAATTGGCCAAGTTTGAAGTAGCATTAAAAAATTACTGTACTCTGAAAAGTGGCCAGTCTCATATTTACAAAAATATATGAAAATGGCTCATGATAAAGTGTGAGTTTCTGGAAAATTGTGAGGCTTTAAAAAGTATTTTGCTTCCATATATATACCTTGGGAGACAGATATAGAACACATGCAAAAAAACCTTAAATTACGTATAATCTCTCTCTCTCTCTTTTCTGAGACAGGGTTTCTCTGTGTAGCTCTGGCTATCCTGGAACTCACTCTGTAGACCAGGCTGTGTTTAAAAATAGGGTTAGGAAACTATTAACACATTTATGATGAACTTTAGTGTGTTAGGGGGAAAAGTTATTGAATGTTAGGTTTACAAGAAAAATGTAGCGAAAACCTCAACCTTCTGAACAATGGAGTGCCTCCGTTTTTGTAAATTAAGGTAGTTATTGGTATGCTGGGTCACAAATACTTTTGATGCTAATGTTTCCATAGCTGCACAGAATGTCATCAGACAAAAGAAACACCCCCTGGCCTCAAAGCCTCAGCTCACCGTCTCTCCGTTCAGTGAAAAGGTGAGTGTGGGGACCTAGGGTGTGTTTTGAGGCTTGGGGTCCATTTCTTCTGGGAAGTCTTTGGTGTATAAAGACACACAAAGTGCTCTTGCCCCGTGACTTCTTAGGGATGAAAGTAGAAACTTCTCAGTTCTCAAAGGCAAAAGCGGCCTCTAGAAATGTTTTTGTTTCAATGTATGTGTGCGTCCCGTGATGCCCTTAAAGCGACGGTGAGCTTCTGTGCTGCCGTGGATGATAGGTGGGTTAAAGGTTTTATATGGGGGGACAATTAGGATGAATACTAAAAAGGAACTTTGCAGGAGCAGGGAAGGTGGGAGTAAGAATGAGAGTTAAAATCCAAAGTATTAGCTTCCATATATATTCTTTAGAGAACCTGGGCTTCTGGTATAGCCAGCTATTGAAATTTCAGCTGGGAGAGAGAGGTAGGGCAGGCCGGACTCTGGGGATGTCTGTCTGTGGAGCATGTGCCCGATAGTTTGTGTGTTGTGTGTGTATATATGGATTTTGAGAAGCATTGTGTTTCCAAACAGCGTTTATTTTTTTTTTTTTACCCTCCGTTTTTTTGGTGTGGGCTGTGAATCTGCAGTGTGCATTGTAGGCTCTCTGAAGGAGTGACCTAGAGTGAGAAGCTGGGAAGTCTGTGCGCTTGCTGCCCCCATCCCCCCCACCCCCACCCCCCCCACTCCCACCCCCAGGCCAGCAAGTGCTGCCTAGATGAGAAGGATGGCAGAAACCCGTGTGCTCCGCTGCTTGCTCACTAGGCCATGCTGTTTTGACTTTTCCCTTTCTCATTTTAGGTCTTCAACTATGTGATGGCTATTCTTGATCTGTCCGTTTTTCGGACTCAAACTGTACTAGAAAGCCTGGTAATGGACCTGAAGATGAAAATCCCAGCTTTAAACTTCAGCCCGTTGGGACCCAGTGGGAAAATCTCAGTGCAAGGTTCATTTCTGGCTCTCATGAAGCTCAAACAGGCTTTGATAGCAAAAGCCATCTCTGCTTTAGAAAGCAACAGGAAGGAGGGATGCCGGCAAGAGGAGAAATCGCACTAGACAGAACCCTGGAGGCGTCCTACGGGGAAGGGAGACCTCTGCAGCGGCACTCGGGACCTCTGTACCTGAGTCTGCCAGAAGCCAAGGGACACTTGTGCTTGATACAGACGTTTTCCTTTACCTGAAACACAAGTGTGAGTTGTATGAACTAACACTGAACAAATACCGTATCCTGTGTCAGGAGAGTGTGGATGGTGATGTCACCACCATTTGTCTACAAGATGCTGACAATGGGTCTCGCCCTAGCGGTGTCAGACATGTGAAAGAGCTCATTGAGGAGTGGGCCCAGGGGCTCCACCTTGAGCTCAGAAAAGAGACACTGGTTTTGGAAGGAAAGGGAGAGAGAGAGAAAAGAAATATTAAGCAGGCTTGTGAACGGCTGCGTTACAGATATCTTAGAGTTTTGATTAATCCTCACCACACACATATAGACATTATAGGACCTTCGTCTGACACATTCCTGTTTAAGGCAGAGCTCATGAAATCCGCAGGGCAAAAGGTCACTTGAGGTCTCAGGCACAGTTGTTGTGGTCGCTTTCCCCCTGACTGAGAAGTGACTGTGCTTGCCTCTCATTTTGTCCAGATTTTATTGTATATATCATTGTCTTCATGCTATAGGAGAAGAAGGTAGGATTTAGGGAAATTAAAATACTTATCCAAAGTTATCCAGCTGACAATGAATGGGCCTGGTGTTGAATACAAAAACAATACCTAAATCAAACTGAAAAACAAAACAAAACAACAACACCTCACTAAACTTAGAAGAAACCTCACTTTTCCTGCAACTCCAAATTATTAGGCAAAGAAGTTTTTTCCCCTGACAGAGGTTTGTATGATTACCACGCTATTGCTAAGTTCTCAGGGTTTGTATTTACTCCATATAGCATTAGAATGTTGCCTAGGATCACTTGGAAAAGTAGTGGTTCTGTTAGAATTGTAAGGAATCTTGGGAGAAATTTGTGTGCTTGCTATTGTAGACAAATCTTGTTTTACAACAGTGTGCCAGCCAGATGCACGTTGTAATTTCAAAACATGGTGAGCCAAAAAAGTGCCTTTAACCCATGTAACTTGCAGAACATCCTAACTTTGCTACACTGTCTATGGTAGAGAAATGACTCCTTACCCTGGTTGCTGCGCTGATTGACAGCTGGAGTTCACTGTTGCTGCTCAGCATTGCTAGAGAGCATTGCACGGTGCATCACTAGCCTGGAGAAGATTCAGCGTCTGAAGTGCTGACTATATACTCCTTTTGCACCATAATAAAGTAAAACTTACAGTAAAATTAAATTGTGAGTTGAACCATCATTGAGCCAAGCAAGGATCATCAGCATTCTGAGCATCTGTGATCTTATTCCTCAAATGCTGTTACTTGAACAGCACGATAATAAAGACAAAGAAAGAAAAGCTGTAGTGATTTGTTTCCAGGTCTATGATTCCCTTGATTTTAGCCCCGAGAGTAAGGCAATTTTGCATAATGGAGCTCTCCAGAGCTTATCCTGGTGTAATAAATAATAGAACTGTATCTGTTCCTCTTAAGGTGAACAAACATGATTATGATTATTTTAACTATCAGTAGAGCATACAAAAAAATCTATTTTGCCCTTATTTTCCTTTGCCATCTAAATCCCAAATGTTTAAATCATTTCTGTTACCTTACGATATTTCTGACACCCAAAACGCAGACAACGATTCCTAAACTTGACAAATGAGACTATGTCAGTCTGAACAAGATTTGTGCCTCAGAGGACGTGATCAATCAAGTGAGAGAATGCTTTCATTTGTTCGGACTGCTGTAAAAGGTTTTGCAGGATGATTTAAACAATAGGCATTTTTCACAGTTCTCAAGACTGGAGTCAAGATCGGGGTGCAGCCATGGTTGGGCCATGATAAGGGCCCTATTCCTGGGAGAAAGCAAGAAAGCTCCTCCGTCTCTTAGAACATTAACTCCATCAGGAGGGCTCTTCTTCATGACTCAGTCACTCCCCTCAAGGCCCCGCCTCCAAATACCCTCAGTCACTCCCCTCAAGGCCCCGCCTCCAAATACCCTCAGTCACTCCCCTCAAGGCCCCGCCTCCAAATACCGTCTGTGTTAGGCTCCTGTGGCTGTGACAAAATGCCTGAGTAAATTCGCAGGAAGGAAAGATACAATGTGGCTTACAATTTCAGCCCATGGTTACTTGACCCCATAGCTGGGCTTGTGCCAAGGCACCCTCGTGGTGAGGAGGGGATGGCAGAACTAGGATCCTTGCCTCATGGCAGCTGGGAAGCCAAAGGAGACAGGAGAGGTTTAGGGACAGCATTACTCTTTACTCTTCAAAGTACATCACCAGTGACTCCACCTAGTTCCTACCTTCTGATAGTCCCACTCAGTTATGAGCTCATCAACTGATCTGTGTTGACAATAGCACACTTAGGAGCTGTCCCTAGCACTCGCAGCAGGGGACCACGCCTTCCACATAGGAGTTTCTGGGAATATTTTACAACCAAACCATAACATCACATTGGGATTAGAATTTTAACATATGAGTTCTTAAGAGTACAAATATTCAGCCTCTAGTAGTCAACCCTGGACCTCAGGAATTTATGTCCTTGTCAAGAGCCAAATGTTTGTTCTAGGATTGGAGAGATGGTTCTCGGGGTAAAGGCACCTGCTGTTCAGCCTGATGACCAGATTTTGATCCCTGGGACACATGGTACATGCATGCACATGGACACACACACACACACACACACACACACACACACACACACAATTAAAAAACCAAAACCCATGGAGGTTTAAATGAGAAATTATGTCCTCAGTTGATGGCACTATTAGGGAAGGTGGTGGAGCCTTGGAGCCTTGCTGGAGGAAGTATGTCACTGGGGGTGGACATTGAGAGTATACAGTCTCTTCTACTTCCAGTTTGTTCTCTGTGCTTCCTGCTTTTGGTTGAAGGTGTCGCTCAACTCCTAGCACGTGATCTATGCTTGCTCCATCACTGTCATGCCTCCTGGACAGCACCGACTCCTGACTCCCCCTCTGGTACTTTAAGCCCAAATGAACCCTTTCTCCTGTAAGTTGATTTTGGTCATGATGTTCTAAAAGAGTAACAGAAAAGTAACTAAATGCCCCCAAATCCACACGTATTCCATCTCAACAGCTCCAGAGATCCTAACTCCGACATCTAAGATGCTTCCAACCTCACTGAAATCTGACAGCAGTGAGATTTGTGTAATTGTGTTGTGTCAAAATTCCTTTCTAGCTATGAATTTGGGAAACCAAAGATGTTTTGTGCTTCCAAAATGAGAGGATGGGCAAGGAATAAGAAAAGCATTCCCATTCCAAAAGGGAAAAATAGGAGATGAGGAAGAGAGGCACTAGGTCCTAAGAGATGTAAAGGAAGCTGCTTGAATACAGTCTTCAGTTCACTGCTCTGCCTTCCTGGCCCATGGGGCCGGCAGCTACAAATCTCACCAGACAGAGAATCAGCCAGTCCTTTGACTTCAGATCCCCAGCCTCCAGAAGTGTGAGCAGCAAATGTCTTTATTAGTAAGTGACCTAGTCTCTGACATTTGTTATAGTAGTCTGAGCAAGCTGAGAGAGGCAGAGAGAGAGGAGTGGTTTACCTACCAGCCCAGGAATAGCAAGGGTTTCCAGGAGCCACCTGGAGCTGTGAATGGTAAGATGAATTCCTCTGGTGTGGAATATTCCTTTACACTGTGTGACTATATGTCACTGTGATTGGTTTAATAAAGAAGCTGACTGGCCAGTAGCTGGACAGGATAAGGCTAAGCATAAAAGCCAAATTGAGAATGCTGGGAAGAAGAAGCGGGGAGTCGGGAGTCTCTAGCATAGGCAAGGAGAAGCAAGATGGGCATGCTGTATTGAGAAAAGGCACCAAGTTACTTGGCAAAGCATAGATAAGAAATATGGGTTAATTTAAGTGTAAGAGCTAGCTAGTAACAAACCTGAGCTATTGACTGAGCATTTATAATTAATATCAAGCCTCTGTGTGGTTACTTGGGAATGGCTTGTGGGACAGAAACTTCTGCCTATACCCTGGCCCTGAGAACATACTGATTCTAGACTTCTAGCTTCCAGACAGCGAGAGAAAGGACTCTTGGTTTTAAGTCATCATTTGTGGTAGCTTGCCACATCCAACACAGGAAATGAGTAGACTCAACTTTCTTTAAAAAAAAAAAAAGTTAGTGAGAGCCCCCATCTTTGCAGATGGTTTTGGGTGTGGGCCCTTGTTTTTACTCACAAGTTTTCTTACTCTGTTCTCCCCAGGGTATATCAGAACACATGGTACAGACTCAGTATTCTGCAAACACTTAGGAAGCATTTGAACAAGTTTTATGATCCATGTACATTTACGTAGGGCTGTGATGACTGATTGTGGTTGTCAACTCAACTACATCTAGAATCAACTAACACCAAAACAGCTGTGCACACCTGTGGAGGATTTGATTGAATTATTTGAGGTCAGAAGACCGCACCCTAAATCTGGCCACACCTGGTAGCAGCCCACAGAAAAAGACATGGAGAAGGAAGGAAACTTTCACAGTTTGTCTGCTTCTCCTCACTGGCAGTTTCATCTCTCCTGTTTCTGATGCATTCCTTTAATTGCGTTAGAACCCACTTCTTAGGGATTCCAAGGTAGACTGAAGACTGACAGCTCTCTCCTTCTACTTTTAGATAAGGATGTGAGCCAACTACCAACCCAGTGCCATGCCTGTCTGCCTGCTGCCATGCTCCCCATCATGTTGGCCTAACCTCTGCAACTGTGTGCCCTAAATTAAATGTTTTTTTTATAAGTTGCCTTGGTTATGGTGTTTTGTCATGGCAACGAAAAAGTAACTAAGACAAGGACTCTGCCCTTAGTGTCTGATAAACCTGTGCTCAGTGGGCCAGGAGTTTTCTGGGTCTTTTTTTTTTTTTTTTAAATCATGTAGTGTGCTCTCTCTTGTCAATGCAATATTAATATTGATTTTTTTTTACTTTCTTATTAGAACAGGTCTGTATTTCCTATTTGTATTATTTTCTCCAATGCAGAAAATTCTCCCTGGCAAGACAATTGAGAGTAAAAGGATATCCTTGTCTTTCTGTCCTTGTCAAGCTGGTTGGTCCGTGCCTACTGCTGTGGTCAGGCACCAGGCATGTTCTCTGGACTTACCTGTCTCTAGACTCAGGTTCCCAGGAGACAGAAGTTGTGAAGACTTGCCGAGTCTGTCTCCTCTGGCATTTGGTTGTTGTTATCTGTAAGAGCTGGTCAAGAACCCACGATGTCTGTGAATAGTCTACCTGTCAGTGCCCGAGATGTTAAAGCGTTTGCATCTGTAGAAAATCCTCTAGAGCATGTATAGTGTGGCAAGAGCGTCCCACAGCTAACTTATTTCCCATCATTCTGGTAAAGTCAGAGGGCAGGATATGCCTCCCCTTGTTATTTTAAGTGAAATACAGCACAAGAGGAAAGGGGGTAGTCGGTGTTGTACAGATCCAGTCAGTGCTGAGATGCTAACTTAAAGCAAAGCTGTCCAGGACATAATTTACTACAAGCATCTTCTGAGGCGTTCCTACAAACCTGTTTCAAATGATGGCTAAGTATTTTCAGGCCTGTGTATGAGAGTGGAGAAGAACAGTTTGCTTTTGGGTAATTATTGAAAATACCTTTCTTCACTTTCCCTGAGAACTGCCTTTTAGAGTGAAAGTCCCACATATTCCTTCCCGTGTTCCATAAGTTGCCAAGCATTTGGATTCTGTCCCTGGATCACCCCTTTCCTCGTGCTCTATGCATTACCCTTTACTTTTGAGTAAAGCTTCCTTGTATCTTTGCAGTCTGCATGCACCTTTATTCATAAGTTCCTTGCATAAGATGTGGTGTTGGTTCTAGTGTCAACTTGCCACAAATTAAACATCACCTGGGTAGGGCTCATAACATGAAGAATTGCCCAGATTACCTTACCTGATGTGGGAAGAATGGCAGCACCTTCTGCATCAGCATATCTGCATCAGCATATATATCACCTTTTGCTCATTTGGCCTTCTCTCTTGCTGCTAAGGCTAAGTGAACACTGTAGAAGTGACAGTGGGAAGACAGTAAGAACCAGAGGTAGGGAATATTGGGGCAAAACAGTGTGCTCTGGACACAACAGAATTGCCACACTTAGAAGCTCATGGCAGCTGTGGTTACCTGCACAGAATCAAGGCAGCCAACGTTCCAGTCCTGATGTGCAGGGGCCATGTGAACTCCTACTCCTGACTGGGGTGGTTAATAGGTGATGGTTTCTAGGGGAGGGAGAATCAGTCTCTTTCAGGGTGTGGTCCCTGGCAGGTTGGCCGTGCTTCAATGTATGGCCCCATGTCCGTGCACACGTGGGCAGCACTTAATTGGATTCAGTGTGCTAGTTTTTAAAAAGGGACATGA